GGAGCGGGTGTGGGTGTGCGGGCGGCTGTTGCACGGGCTGGCACGTCCGTCCGCGGCCGCATCGGGAATCCCAGATGAAGGGCAGCTTGGAGAAAACATCGTGGTCATTAGCACCTGGTAATAACTCCGCCGGAGCTGGGTGTGTATGCGTGATTACGAGTCCGAAAGAAGGAAGTAGGACGTACCGGGATGGCTTGGTCGTGTCACAGGCGTCCAGGGAAAACACAGGCCAAAGCGTGATGCGTTCGAACGGCATTGGCAGGTCTGTCACGTGTGGGGAGGGGGAGGAAGGTACCTGGGCCTCCCTTGCTTGCTCTTCACGTAGTAAGCTGCGTTCTGATCCGTTTCCCTACTCAGTGAACTCTCGGACATTGTTTCCCAAGGTGTGCGTTTACTAAACTTGCTTTGCAGGGCGTGTTGCTGGTTCTCTAAAGTTGTATCAGCAAAGAAACTTCCCGTGTGGTTCTAGTCGTGTTTGTGCTGAGTTTGGCTAACTGGCTTGTTCATTTGGAGGGTGTTTCGATAAAAGAACCAAAGGTGACTAGTTCTAAGTTATGGGGAGTCCAATTAAAAGCAAAAAATAATTTGGCCAGCTAGCATATAGTTGGTTTTGAGTAAACAGTTTTCTATTATAATGGTTTTATTTTCAAGCATATGAAAGTGAGAGATTTGAATTACAAACTTCTCAAGTACTTAGATTAACTGGCTTTCAAATTTGGCTTTAGTATGTAGCCATTATCAGATCAGACTTTGCTGTACTGATGATATCTGTGTGTAAGTAGTAAAAGTTACTGTCTCATCTTTTTAATAGGCAGATGTTTCACCTGTTATCAGCTCTCTCACTTCAGAAAGCTTTTAATTTAGTCAGCCATTGCTTGGGATGAGACAATTTGAATGCTTATTTTAACGTACTTTGCTTTCATTTGATAAAAACCTATGGTAGAGTATACTCTCAAAAAAAGAAAAATAAGAGGTTAGCACAGTTCAGTACTGTGGTATGATAATGTCAAGGCAGAAGTTGAAGGTAATTCAAATGCTGCTTCTCCTTCCTAATGACAGAATTCTGTAAGAGCTGACCTTGTCATTGTCATTAGTTGAGCAACCTGTTCAACCCTACGTTTTGTGACTTAGTTTGCAATTTGTCAAACGTGGGGACAAATACAGCTTTTTCACCTGAGCAGTGCTTGCATGCGGAGTTTGCGAATGTACCTCTTACGAAAATGCTGTTGCTGCAGATGTTACAAGTATATTTCAGACTTTGGGAAGCACACACACTTTATTCTACACATAGTCCAGTTCAGCTAAGTGTTTCTCACCTGTATCAAACTTGGATCTGGCACATATCTGGAAGCACTTGTGTAAAATATACTTAAATGATATTGTTTGATTATAGTTTGGGAACATTTTTAGAATTTGGTGTTCTTGGCAAATACCTAGACAGCTTTTGCTGATTTTTTTTTTTTGCATAGATCATTCGATCCATTTACTGAAACCTTTGAAATAGGAGCTCTAAGGATGAATGGTTATTCTTACAGTAATACTGGTTTCATTTTGATTCCAAACTAACTGTCTTCTCCTGGTTTAGCCTAATTCTTAGCTAAATCTCAGGATATGCTTATTGAACAGCTAGAAACAACTAGCTCGGGTTTTGAAACATGTCTTTGAAGGTGTGTTTGACATTACCAGCTGTCTGTAAACTAGGGATCTCAAACCTCTTCCAAGAACTAATTAGGCCTGATGACACATTTGTGAGGTACGCACGCATTTCATAGTTGTGACTTTTCAGAATTTGAGTCATAGTCCAGAGTAAAGCCCAGACAATCTTGTTTAACCACTAAACTAGAAATATTCTTGAGTAATCTGAAACTGCGCTTTTCCCTTCAGATTTTTTGAATGGTTACATTTACAAAGGTTTATTATTTCATAGCTATTGCTATGTACATTTAGCACAGTTTAGCATGAAGTGTATAGTCTGTGTGGTTTTGAAATTGTTACTAAAGTGGACTGTCCAGTTGCTCATGACTAAAATGGGAACTGGTGACTCATTCAATAAAAGCTCCAGCAGAATCAGCAAAAGTCCAGCACGGGTAGGTGTGTCCCCTTGTAACAAGTTAACTGCTGAATGGAATAACCTCATGGAAACTAGCAGGCAGCCTTTTGTGGCTGAAATGTAATGAAAGTAGCCAATTTTGCTAATTTGTCAGTTTTAATAAGAGAAGCTTGTACCTGGCTGCGGATGTATTCTAGTAAGTTTTTTAAATCTGTCGTGGAATGAGTGTGGTGTTGGTTAGGCAGAAATCTTTATAAATTTCTTGTACTTCTGCTCCGGAGAAGAGATGAGGAGCTGTTGAGAGTTTCCATGCTGTCCTTGTCTTTGTGGAGAAATTGTGTTGGTCTAAGATATGTGCTCACTGTTAGTTGAAAGTGGTAGTGTTTGTGGAGGCTACTATGGACCCAGTCTGGGTCAGGTGTTTGGGAAACGTGTCCAGGAACACACATTTTTGAGGAGTGTCAGGATTATTCTAGAAGCAATTAGCATGAATTAGAAAAGCCTCTTTTCTAGTAAAGGAAGCCCTGTTACTACTTCTGGAAATAATGAACTGTTTGTTGCTGGCACTTTCGCTGATGCTGGCAGTAATAATTCTCATGACTTCCAGGGCAGTACCAAAGTGTTCGATATTTCTACTGTGGCCAGTCTGATACCGACAGCTCTTATTTTTTTAGCCATCCTTTTTTTTTTTTTTTTCTTTTGTAGCGTAAAGCTTTCCAGTGCTTTTTTGTTTCTCATTTTCAGTGGCTAGGCTGTTTTATCTCTCCTGCTTAATTTATATTAACCTTTGTGAAAGTAACTTACTTAAAAGACTGGCAATGCTCGTATTTCTTTGTGGCTTCAGCTTAAATCAGTTGATGACTTAATACTGTCATGTGAATATGCTAATAGTATCAATAGATGATTTTTTTTTTACAAGAAAATGTTATATGTCTGTCTCATTAACTTCTACAGATGTCTTTTGGAGAATATAATCTTCAAATTCACTTGTAATCTGACAGTGTGGCAAGAAAGGACATAAAATGTGTACCAGCTGAACCAGAGGATAATTGCAAATTTTGTTTGGCCATGATATTCAACAACATAGCTAAAGATAAAAGCAGCACTTAGAGAACAAAAACATAAAAATAAGGGTTTTCACAATGTGATTGGCCCTTAGTCCTTCTCCTAAGAAAGGCAATTAACTGGCATGGTTACTGTTTTTAAACTAATACTAAACCGATTTCACTCTTCTTAACATCACATTGCTCTGCTATATGCCAATTGCAGTAAAGTGAGTTTAGTGCAAATGGGTGTGACTTCAGGTATTTATTTGGACTTTTTTCAGTGTTTTTCCAGATGTACAGGTACAGTGTCAAAAGGGAGCTAATGTAGGAGGTCATAAAATATGTCTGCCAAGCTTGAAAACTGTTGCTCTTTCTTGCTAAGATACTTCGTTGACTTAAAACATCACAGACATGTCATGTTGCTTTGAAGGGACATATGAAAACTGAAGACGACCTGATACTTCCCTGTATAAATACACTGAGATCTTAAATTCAGGCTTTGAAATTTAACTGTGGAGTTTTACTGGAAAAACTGCTACATTGGAGGAACAAAACTTGGTTTATGTTGCATCATTTTGCTCTTTTAGTGCCTGCACCTTCATTGAGCTTGTATGGATTTCATCATAAGCTTTTAATGTATGTAATTTCAGATTTTCAAAATTAAGTGCTAATTTTAAATCTCTTTGAACTGTCCCTTGGCTGGAAGTCCATCACCAATCTTTTTCGTCACAGGTAGAACAGCTGCCTGAACCAGGCTTGAACTCCACCTGGCAAAGAAATGTTGTCAGTTGAGGGGTAGTGGTGAGTTAGGAGTTCTTATGTTAATGTTTGCAAAAGGCCTTGTGTAGGCACAAGCTGTACCACTAAAAGCATTTTTATTGATACAATATACACCTACATGATGTGGGAGAGGCCACCTGATTTTCACCAGTGTTAAACTTTTCGTTCTGTGGAACGGGTTGTAATTGCCATCACTCGATATGACTGCTGTCACCCGACTGTCTTTTCATAGCAGGGTCCAATCCTTTAGGCTGCTGGGATTTCTGCAGCTTGTCCAGCTGACTTGTCCTCCTTTATGTCTCCTAAGCGCAGCTTTTGCCAGTTTTTACTTCCATAAAACAGACTGGGGTTTATTTACATTGGAGGCTTGAGTTTGCATCTTGTTGGTGGTGCTGGACTTAAAATAGTAAAAATTTTATGAAGAATTGTACTTCAAATGCTATTTGTGTGCTTATTAAGATAACTGCAGCGTTTCCTAATAATTCCGTGTTTTTCTAGCTGAACGAGCTTTGGATACCATGAACTTTGACGTCATTAAAGGCAAACCAGTGCGCATTATGTGGTCTCAGCGCGATCCATCTCTACGCAAAAGTGGTGTAGGAAACATCTTCATCAAAAACTTGGACAAATCAATTGATAACAAAGCTTTGTATGACACGTTTTCTGCTTTTGGAAATATCCTGTCTTGTAAGGTTAGTGGTGCATTTAATGGTTTGACACAAACCCCCTCCATTTATGCTAGAAACATTCCGTGGGTATTACAACAGGGTTTTTCTTTAATAGGTGGTATGTGATGAAAATGGATCCAAGGGTTATGGATTTGTACATTTTGAGACACAAGAAGCTGCAGAAAGAGCTATTGAAAAAATGAATGGTATGCTGCTTAATGACCGCAAAGTGTAAGTACATGAATACATAGTTGGGGATCAACAGACTGAAATTCGTTTTACAGCAGACAAATATTTAAAACTTACCTAGAAGAGACAAGTTGTTCTGAAAATTTCTAATTTCGAAGAGGATTTAGAATTTTAGTTCTAGCAATACTATGAGTTGTGTCACCTGCCTATTCTGAAGGCAGAATAAATTCAGAAAAGGCTAATAATGGACTCTAGGGGGAAAAAAATTGTTGTATTAGTTGTCTTACAAGCCATTGCTGTAATGAGGACTTGGGAACTTCTCTGGCTTTCTGATCTTACTGGTCTGAGATAAAACACAATCCATCAGGTATTCTGAATAATACTTCCTTTATGAGAGTTGTGAGATAGGTGTGCGATCCATTTTTTGGATGAAACTTAAGCTCCAGAGTTACTCAGTCCTGAATAGCAGTTGGATTACACTGATGTTTTTATATGAATGTCTGTTAATAGGCATATCTAGGTAACAGGGGTAGAAAATAAAACTTTCAGAAACACAGTGTTTTAAATATGATGACTGTTCTATTCTATAGGGAAAAATAGTTGTTTGGCTACTTGGTTAGTGATATCTAGGCTTGGGGGGTTGAGGTGAGTGTGCTTCACAGCTATGGCTAAGAGATCATTATGGTATTTGGTATAGTTGCAAAAGAATAGTTCTAAATACTTGAGAGGGTTTGGAAAAAGGATAAGAGAAATCAGCATCAGCTTACCATCCTGGGTTATTTTTACATGTAGAGATGGATGGATCAAGCCACAGACAGGAAGAATGTATTTTGAAACTTCAGTTTTCGTGCTTGTTCTGTGCTTGACTGGAATACTGTGGGTGTTTTTACTCAGCTTCCATCTTTATACAACCTTTTCAAATTAGTCAAAAAAGGTCAACATGTAGGCATAAAAGCACACGATTTATGTAAATATTTGTTTGGTAAAATACATCATGATGGTTAATTTTGCTTTGAATTTGTATTCAGGCTAGGCTTTTAAAAGTGAATTGAAGTTCTTCACTCACTATCAAAATGTGCTGAACACATTGCACTATCATTCTTACCATCCTTGGCTGCTATAAATCGGGTGAAGAAGTTGTCAAAGTTGTAAGAAAATGTTGAGTTACTTATGCTGCTTTATTGGATTTGTCAGATTTGGAACTATAAAGTTGTACAATAGCATAAAATTGGAGAGCAGAAGTCTACTACAATCAGAAATCCGCGTTAGCCATGTAACGCCTGTACTAGAGCAGTTCCTTGGGTTGCGGTGTTGTGTTCAGCTTCTGTCTTTTCTCTGACTGTATGCACTGAACTTTGGTGTTCCCAACCAATTTGCAATGGTATTTGACTAAAGAGCAAGATGAACTATTTATTTCTCTATCCCTATTAAAAAAAAAAAAATCCCTTGCTTAAAAATGGGATTGGAGAATGGTAACTGCTTTAAGGCTGCCAAGTTTTTAGTATGGCAGAGGGATTATGCTGATCTCTAGAATTTCTGTTTGGCCACTTTACCTGGTACTCTTTGTCATTGTCCAGCTCCTGTTGTCAAAGGCTGTTTTAGAAGAGTGACCAGTCTCACTGATGGCTTGGAAGCATTGTTACGCTAGTAACTGTGATAAGCACGCTGATGTAGCAAGGGATAGTGAAATTGTTTTTCTGATGGAGCTTTATCGGGAATATTTATCTAAAGAATTTCATGCCTGTAATGAGCAATGAGACTGGTTAAGAATAAAATGTGATGCCAGGGGATTCAAGTACATTTTTGAACCTTGACAGACTTGCTTAAATCTACACTATTCTGTTTTCCTGCAACTAGATTTGTTGGAAGGTTTAAATCCCGCAAGGAACGTGAGGCAGAGCTTGGAGCCAGAGCAAAGGAATTCACCAATGTTTACATCAAGAATTTTGGAGAAGACATGGATGATGAGAGACTTAAGGAACTCTTTGGCAAGTTTGGTAATGTCTTAAACTTTAAGTTTATATAAACACGAGTGAACTTCAGTTTACTTCTTGTATCTTATCTGTACGGTGCCTTATAATACAAGGGATCAGCTGGCTGTCTGATGTTGGTTTAAAAAAGTAAAAAAAAAAAAAGGTACTGACAAGTTAGTGCTTAATTCCCCTTTCAGATTCAAAGTGCAGTGATACCCACTGCAGAATTGTAAATACTCAGAATAGCATATATAATCCTGCCATCAGAATTGTTTCCAATAATCTCAAAATGCTGTGCCTAAATAGTCTTTTGAATGGGTTTTGCAAATTTTTTTCAGTTGCAAATAGAAGTGGTTTCTGTTTTATTACAGATTAATGTTATTAATTCCTTGCAGGATATATGACAAATGAGTTTGCTATTGCTTTCATTGACCTGCAGACTTACCTTTACTCAGAGCATCTCTGCTTTTGTTATTCAGTTGCATTGTGGTAACTGACCTCATAGAAAATTACAAGGGACTTTTCCACTGGCAAGCTGTTTGGTTCTGTCCTGATCCTCAGTTGTACATGCAGCAAAATTATGACAGTAATTTTCTAGTATATGATCTAGTAAGGTATGTGATGTGTCACCATCAAAATAGGCAATGGCAAACTCCTTAATTCACTTGCAGATTCTTATACTGGTTTATAGGGCACATTATTTTATTTTCAGCCTCAGCTTTTTTTTTTGTATTTTCTTCCATGCTTTTGTTGTTCTCCAGTGGTTGTCGCGTAAAGCAGGACAAAGTCTTGTATGTGAGCTATTCTGTAGCAGCCCTAAGCAGCATTTGCAGGAAATCCCTTTCCACTGTTGAAGTATCTGTGTTTGAAACAGTAGTGAGTTGAGCTGCTAATATCTGTCTTAGCTGAGTCTGTGAACTGCAATTTTTCCCAGGTTTGGAATTGCCCAGCCAGGTAAATGGTGAAGCACATACCTAATAGAAGGGCTTTCTCTTTGGCTTTCAGTTCCTGTTTCAAAAGAAAGAGGCACTAATGCTTTTTAAATGTTGTAATTTTTAATGAGAAAAACAATTTCATTCACTTTGAAATTCCTACCCCACTTTGATTGAAAATACAATAGGAGAGAAATTCAGCACGGCAGATTTCAGCTGTAATGGCTGAAGTTCAGCATCAGGGCAAATTGGCAATTTTATATTAATGGGTGATGTTTGCTAGATAATATTACTGGTGCAGGAGTCCTTTGTAATAGAAGTGAAACAAACTAAATATTAAGTCTTCTAAACAGTGTGTTCAAAATGTGAAGAGAATACACTCTGTGTACGAAGCATAAGTATTTCATTCTCTTTTTAGGTCCTGCCCTAAGTGTGAAAGTTATGACCGATGAGAGTGGAAAATCCAAAGGCTTTGGCTTTGTTAGTTTTGAAAGACATGAAGACGCCCAGAAAGTAAGCTTTTGAACTTTGTTTTAGGAATTCTATATCAGAGACCCTAATAATGTGTTTCATGGAGTGATCTGAAATCTTGTGAATTCCTTAAGGGTTTTTAATTCATCAAGGACACTGCAGAAACAGATGTCTACTTCCTAAATGACTTAGCATAGTTTCTGTCATTTAGAATGCTTTCTTGTGAGCAAATATCAGTTGATTTGAGGAGCTTGTTAAGTCAAGATACTCTGAGACAGCTGGAACTAGTGTAGTAATGGGGAATATTGAATCATTTAATAACCTGTTGGAGTTGTACTTAAAGGTCTCCATGAGTTTTGGACTCCCTCATGCTGTCCATCATACAGAGTAAATTATTACATCTTTGCAAAACCTGGATGAATCATTGGATCCATTTTGGTTGCACAAAACATTTGTGCAAGGCAGAAAGGATTGTGTTTTCAAACCTCACACTGCAAAGTCAGCAGGAAAGCTATTAGTTTTACAGAGCATGTTTGGCACAGCTGTAAGAAAATAGTCATAGAGCCCTGTGATGTTGCTTTGACTCTGAAGAGTAACTTTGGAAGAAGGGTCCTTTTAATTTGTGTATGTGTCTATAACATGCCAGTATGCTGTATAACTTAATTCTTTGTCAGCTGGTTGCTTTGATGTGTCAGTTGACTGTGGCGGTAGGGACATAGCATCAGGAGAAAAACTCAGCACAGAACAAATCAGGGCAACAAATGAAGTTTGCTTTTCAAAAGGCATTTTGGTGATTTGTCAGTACTGCAAGTGTACAAGCAAGAGATTAGAACAAATCCTGTCTGTCTTACATCTACATTGTTCAGTCTTGCATACATTCATTGTTGAATTGTTTCTCTTACAGTAGTCAGAATCACATGTTTGGTCTTTTAAATAACGTAAAATTCTAGTATCTCAGTAAATATGTGCTTAATGGTTTTGATCATGAAGGTATACAATAAACTGTTGACTTGTGGTTTTAAATTAATTCAGTAGGTCTGTGCCAGAGTTTTCAGATCTTAATAGTTTTAACTCAAAACAGCATAAAGGAAAAAAGTTCCTATTTTCATGCTCTTTAAAGTATTTCCTTAATGAAAGATTAAAAATTTTTTATAAAAGCCAAATACGCCAGCTGTAGCTTAACGTACAGTATGAGAAAATCTGGTACATGATACGGTTTCAGATGATACTTTTGAAAGCAGAAGTCAGGTGTGTGAATTAGAGCTTTTCAACTTGATTTGCTTTCTTTCTCTGCCTTTCGCAAGACAAGGCTGTAGAAATAGTTCTTCATTATGTGATGATTTTTTTTTCCTAACATCATATAAGAAAAGCTTTTTGCATCCCTCATGACTTTTCTTTAACTGGACAACAGCACACTCAGAAAGCAATTTCCGCTTTACTTCAAGCAAGGAAGTTCTTGGGGTATATTATTTCAGCTAGTGATATTTTAGCTGGATTAGCTGTTTTTCTGGAATCCTTGCGTAACATTTTGTGTGAATTACATTTTTTTTTTGTATGCCTGAGAAACACTGGAATACAGAGCACTGCTAACCTCTTTTTTATTAATGAAGGCTGTAGATGAGATGAATGGGAAGGAGCTCAATGGGAAACAAATCTACGTTGGCCGGGCTCAGAAAAAGGTGGAAAGGCAGACGGAGCTGAAGCGCAAGTTTGAACAAATGAAGCAGGACAGGATCACCAGATACCAGGTTCAGTTTCAGTTCAAGAGGACTAACTTTATTCTATGGTATTTTTAGATTTACACAGACCATTTACTTTCAAAAATAACTTGCCTTTTCTTTAAGGGTGTAAACCTTTACGTGAAAAATCTTGATGATGGGATTGATGATGAGCGTCTTCGAAAAGAATTCTCCCCGTTTGGTACAATCACTAGTGCAAAGGTAAAGTAAAGTTTATAGATTGTGCTTGTCCTTTCTCTGAAAGTGGACAGTGATCCTTCACCAAGGAAGAGTGATTTATTTAACTAATAGGTGTGACCAGATCACTTATCCCTGCTACCATACGATGTATATGTGGATGTTCCCTTTCTTGATTATTGTACATCTCAGGTTAAATGCATGTGATCACCCTTTCTTGAAGTAAACTTGACTGCTGATAGTAATGTGACAAAAATAACAACTTTTCAGTACAATAATGTGCTCATTATTACTTCACTGAGATTTTTAATCTGTATTCAGTAAACATCTATTAACTAAGCAATTGTATTCCTTTCTATAAATCAATTCAGTAAAACAAACCTGTGGTCTTACTTCTGGTAAGCTGAAAAAAGGAACTCCTGCAAATTGAGTAGATACAATATTCAATATTCTCTTTTTTTTTTTAACTGACAGGTCATGATGGAAGGTGGCCGCAGCAAAGGATTTGGATTTGTATGCTTTTCATCACCAGAAGAAGCCACCAAAGCTGTCACAGAAATGAATGGTAGAATTGTGGCTACTAAACCGTTATATGTAGCTCTAGCCCAGCGTAAGGAAGAGCGCCAAGCTCATCTCACCAACCAGTATATGCAGAGAATGGCAAGTGTAAGAGCAGTACCTAATCCTGTAATCAACCCTTACCAACCAGCACCTCCGTCAGGTTACTTCATGGCAGCTATCCCACAGGTACGTATAGAGATGAGTGATGTGTAGAGATGTTTGGTACTGTGTCTCAAATCTGTTCAGATTTGACAGTAAATACAACTATTAGCGTGTGTCCATAATTTCAGCATTCAAATTTCATAGCAGAAAGGTGATGGGCTGTTGAGCATGCACGTGGTTACACGATGTTTTTGTGCTTGACAGACTCAGAACCGTGCCGCATACTATCCTACTAATCAACTCGCTCAACTTGCTAGACCTAGTCCTCGCTGGACTGCTCAGGGTGCCAGACCTCATCGTAAGTCATTTCTCTGCCTCTCTCCAGTGATTGCAGTAAACAGCACCGTAGCGTTTACCTTTGTACTTTCAAATACATTTTCACAGCGTTACGGTATCGGTCCTGTCTTTGTTGTGTTAGTGGTACTACTTCTGAACTATTTTCACATTCAGTGTTTCAGCATGTAACTTAATATATTTTCTCTAAAACATAGCATTCCAAAACATGCCTGGTGCTATCCGCCCAGCAGCACCCAGACCACCATTTAGTACCATGAGACCAGCTTCTTCACAAGTTCCACGAGTCATGTCAACACAACGTGTTGGTGAGTTCCATTTATGCAAACTTTAAGTATTAGACTACTTTTTTATTATCGGCATGATCTCTCAAAAGCATTTGTAAGTTCAATATCACAGCAAAGATTCATGCTGTGGTCCTGTTTCTTTAGCATGAAGCATTTCTTCTTTTAGTGTGCATTTTAATAATCCTGTATGACAGCTTCTGCCATTTCTAAACATTGTTGTGGCAATCGTAATAATAGGTTGCACCTAAAAATACTGAGAAAGCAGAATTTTAGCTCTTAATGTTTTGTGAGAGCACCGTGAGCCCATGTCACGTATGCAGAATCTGCACATCGCTAAACGAACCAGAATTGATTGTAGTGGAGTCTTAATTCCTCAGAATGTAGGAGGCAGTAGTGGTTTTTAGCTGTCTACTTCATGAAAGTGTCTTTTTTAGGATGGCTATTGATGTCATGTGCTCAGGAAATCAAGTGTCCTTTGAGGTTAGAATGAAATTAACAACCAAAGTGAATGTTTTTTGCACAGATGTTTTTGTCAATAGCATGTAAGAAAAGCAATTCATTAGTGAAGTGACTGGAAGGTAACATCCGGTAAATTTCCAGCTTTGAACCTTCAGATATGACCAGTGATGTGACAGTTGACAATACTACTGAGTTTAATCTATAATACAATACCTAAATTGGGTATTACCTTTGGGCTGGTTTGTGGGGTTTTTTGGTAACTTGTACAGTGTAGGCTAAATAAGAAAATTAATTACTCACATACAGAATTACGGGGTTTTTTTCAGCTAATACATCAACACAGACAATGGGTCCCCGTCCTGCAGCGGCCGCCACTGCAGCTACTCCTGCTGTACGCACAGTACCACAGTACAAATATGCTGCAGGTGTTCGTAATCCTCAGCAGCATCTTAACACACAGCCACAGGTTGCTATGCAGCAGGTACGTAACTTTAGGAACTGGTCCATGCTGTTGCTGGTGTTTTTTGCAGAGGAAGGTGGGGAGGGGTGCTTGTGATTGAGTTGTCTTTGTTATTCTAGAGTTCAGGCTCTGCGTTGTGGCAGCAGTTACAGCCTTGGGGTTTTAAGTATATGGTGCTCATCTCCAGCATCGCTCAGCTCTAACCAGCCCTGTTTGATTAAAGTGACTTAGTTGTAATTTCTTCCATGTTTCTGACAGTGCAGGCATGGTTTATGATGAGTTGTGGGACATTGGATATTCAAAGTTGCACCTAATTATGAACTAGAATTTAATTTTGAAATGGTGTTAAATTAATTTGCAGCCTGCTGTCCATGTGCAAGGTCAGGAACCATTGACTGCTTCGATGTTGGCTTCTGCCCCTCCACAAGAACAAAAGCAGATGTTAGGTATGTATGTGATACCTTTCTCCATACCTTATAGCAGAAGGACAGTCAAAGTACACTTTTATCAGTCTTAAAATGCGGAAAAAATTGTTTTAGCCGTAGCACAAGATGTTTGTTTCCCTTTTCCCTTAAATCTAGGCTGTGTTTGTCAGATGAGAGTTGTCACTCTGATTAACTTTTTTTTTTCTAGGTGAACGTCTATTTCCTCTCATTCAAAGCATGCACCCTACTCTGGCGGGTAAGATCACTGGTATGTTGTTGGAGATTGACAACTCTGAACTCCTCCACATGCTCGAGTCTCCTGAGTCTCTTCGTTCGAAGGTAGGTGGACTTTTGCCTTAACACTAGTTCTGTCAGCAGTTAAGTCTACACAGTGGAGTAGCAGCAGTGCAACAGTGGCCGAGAGGGAGAAGTTAGAATATCCTCTCTCAGAGGGTGGTAGTGACTTGCATTAGCATGAACTGGAACTGTAATGTTAGCCTTTTCTTGTTAGCAATGCAGGTGGTGGTTGTAGGTATAATTTAAACTGTTTCATTAACTTAAATATACAAAAATTACTGAGCTTTCCTTTATTAACTTTTCTTTTTTACTTGACAGGTTGATGAAGCTGTAGCCGTACTACAAGCCCACCAAGCTAAAGAGGCTGCTCAAAAGGCA